ACACTGGTATGTACAGTTGTCATTTGTTGTGTGAGAATACGTCATTATTTGGTTCTTTATGTTCTCACTTGTCGTGTGTGCGTGAGTGAGTGAGTGATGAGAGAGAGAGAGAGACTGCCCTTTGTACAGGCGTGTGGCGCAGTGGATAGAGCCTTGGTATGGGGATCAGATGGTCACAGTTTCAAACCCCACTGCAGTCAGCATGTCGTTGTGTCCCTGGGCAAGACACTTCACCCCAAATTGCTCCTGTGGGGATTGCCCACAGTATTGAGTATGTAAGTCGCTTTGGATAAACGCGTCTAACAAGTGACATGTAATGTAATGTACATGTAGCTGTGGCTGACAATAAATAATGTTATTATGAATACATTTGCCTCCGAGTCCTGCATGAACTGTGCATAGACTGTATTTTAACATTGGTCATATGGTGGTACTTGGAGAGCCAACTATTTTCTCAGGTGGTACTTGGTGTAAAAAGGTTGAAAACCACTGCGATAATGCATCTTAATTGGTGCCATGGCAACATCTAATAATTTGGTTGCTGTATGACATCATTCAAATTCCAATTCGGAAGCCTATAGCAAAGTCCAGTTTGTGTTTTAAAGCAAAACACAAATTAGCAGTTGCTAACACATTATCCTATCTATCCTCTGTAGTCATCTTAAAACATGGCCTCCGACATTGACCTGCAAAATCAGGGTAGCATTGATGTTATCAAAGCTGAGCATCAAGCTGCACTTTCTGGGCAGAGAGAGCTCCAAGCCCAGATTAAGGAGGCGCATTTAGCGATCCACAGCTATACTGCTACAGAGGACATGCTCATTGCAATGAAAAGGGAAACAGAGGAAACCATCAAGGAAAATGCTTCCCTTGAGAAAGAACTTAAGTGTCTCAAGGAAAGACAAAATCACCTTCAGGTAATCAAGGAACTTTACCAGCTGGCAAAGGCAGAGAAGCAGACGGTTTGCCAGCAGAACGAGGCTCTGCAGCAGGAAGTTATGGATTTCTGCAAGAAGCTTGAAAAGGAAAGCATAGTGCAAAATGAGATAGACGCAATGAATGCGTCAATAAACGAGGGAAACCGCCAAACTGACATCTTGCAAATACATATCTTTGAGCTTGCACAGAGGCTTCTGCGTTTAGAGGATCTGCAGACGTCATACAACATTGCGATGGCAGAAAAGGAGTCGATATCCCAACAAAATCAGTTCTTGCGACAAAAGAAAGGGGAGTTCTCCCGAGACCTTGAAAATGAGCAAACCATTAAGGTGAAGTATGAGACCTTGAATGCATCCAACAAAGCCCAAAGGCGTGATAATGACACCATGAAGAAAACGCTTGCTGAGGCCCAGGAGAAACTTGTTCGTGAAGCTGACTGGCAGCAAAAATACATCATGGCTGGTCATCAGAGAGACGGCTTGGAGAGAGAGCATAAAAAACTGAGTGAAGACGTCCAGCTTTTCCAGGGCAAGCTCAAATCTCAGGGGGAGTTGAAGAAGAGTTATAAAACCATGGAGGCTGCGAGAAAAACTCTTACCAGCGAGAACATCACCCTGCGGAAAAGGCTCAACGGCCTTCAGAAAAAGTGTACTGCCGATGAGCACCTACAGGAAAAAGTCACAGCGGTTCAGGCTTCAAACAGGGGTCTCGAGCGCCAGGTCAGAGAACACCAGGACCAAATTAAAACTGTCACGGACATGCTGGGACTGTACGACTCCCTGCAGGAAATAAACAAGGGCTTGAATCGGGAGAATGTCAACCTTCTTGATGACCTCCTTGAGCTAATGAAAACAGTTCAGGAGAAAAGAGCTTGGCAGGCCAAGAGATAAATGCCACAGACTGAAGTTCATTAAGTGTAATTGGCCTACCAGATTTTCTCCAGGAGCACCGGGTTTTCCAACATTCAACATTTCATAAGGTGATTTAAAAAAACTAAACATTAAAATTGTTACGACCCCCTCCACTCCACTAGGGGTCTCTGTGTTTGCATTCTGCTTGCTGGCTCTAACTTGTGTTACAGGTGTTCAAGTCATCAACCTGTTGAGCCACACCTGGGTGGCTGGAGATAAAAGGCCAGCACCATCCCATACTGCCCGATCTCACTCTGCTGTTGGACACCGCTGCTTACTTACTGACGCACACATTACTGATAACTAGGGATGGGTACCGAGCCCCGGTATTAAACGGGCCCCGGGGCTGAATTATTAAAGACCGTGGTACCGTTAAGCTCCGACGTTATCGGTCTTTTTATCGGTACTGGAGACATCTAAAAAATATGTCATGTGTATTATTGCTACACAAACATTATATTGCAGTTTTAGTGTCGCCAACTCCGTTTCTAATACGCAAAAAGACTGCAAAATGCGTCATTTTTAGTATTTTCGATCTCTCCAATCCAGACGAGAGATCTCTCTCCCCCGCCTGCTTGCGAGGGGGCGGAGCAGTTTACACACACGCAGCTGCTACATGCAGCAACACACACACACACGGAGGAGATGGCGGAGAGAACGCGCTCCGAGGTGTGGTTAAACTTTACCCGTCTCGCTCGTTGCCTAAAGTGCAATAAGAGTTTAGCATGTCAGGGCGGTAACACGAGCAATTTGTCTAAACATCTTGCAAAAGTGCACCACGTTCAGACGGAGAAATGCACCGGGTTCGACTGTCTCTCTAGTAGCTCTGTAGCCCCATCCACGAGTAACGTTTCCACGTCAGGTGTTATGTATGCTAGCAGCAACACAAGGAGCTAACTCAATGATTCAAACATGGGTTAATGATTAGAGGGAACTGAGTTATTTAGTTTGTTAAAGTTTCAGCCATTCTGTTCACAGTTCTGTCATCAGATTATTTAATATGATTTGTTAAAACGTTGTTGTTTCTGTTGATGTGAAATATTATGCATTTCATTTAAATAAAAAGCAATGTTAGTTTTGTTCACAATTTGTTAATTTTCATTTAATCGTTTATTTGAATAGGGACAATGCACATTAATGAACACTTTAGACAAATAATGCTTCAAGTAGGGTGACCAGGTGACAGAAAGCCACAAGTGGGACAGAGAGTATATTTGTGTGGGACAATGTGGGACATGTAAATGTAATGTTGACGCATGAACTGTCAACGGGGGGGGGGGGGTACACTGTGGACCTCTGTCGCCTGTCAGCGCAACTTACATAATGCCGTTTAAAACATAATCATAATGGCAGAAAAGCGTTTTGGCCAATCAAAATGAAATATGCGGGCAGTGGCTCAGTCAGTAGGGGCTTGGACTGGGAGCCGTAGGGTCGCTGGTTCAAGTCCCCGACCAGACCTAAATATGGAGTGTGGACTTCTACTTGGAGAGGTCCCAGTTCACCTCCTGCCCTGCCGTGGTGCCCTTGAGCAAGGCACCGGACACCCCCCTTCCCCCCCCCACTCCCATTGCTCCCCGGGCGCTGTACAATAGCTGCCCACTGCTCCTAGTACTAGACTCCTTGTACTAGGATGGGTTAAAAGCAGAGGCCAAATTTCACTGTGTGTGCTGTGTGCTCTGCATGTGTGACCATTAAAGAGGGTTTCATCCCTCCCTATTCTATTCTTCTTCTACATCATCTCAATTTGCGGGACGCACCAAAAGTCGTGAAAATGCTGTGCAGTCCCGCGCAAAGCGGGACATCTGGTCACCCTAGCTTCAAGTGTAAATATGCCGGATTTTAGCTTTGAGCTAATTTCCATCCGTAGTCCCTGACATACAACATATAGTTAGTTTACCTCATTTTTCTCTCCAAAAGAACCGATAAGAGTACCGTTAAAAGACCGGACCGATAAGCGGTATCGATAAAAGTAGTAGTACCGTTAAAACCTTAACGATACCCATCCCTACTGATAACTGACTTCCACATTTGTCCTTTAGTTTTGTTATATTTTAAATAAATATACTTTTTTTTTACACTTTAACTTGTCTGGTCTCCCATCTTTGATGCAGCCTATGAGCCGGGCTGTAACAAACATCTCTTACCATGACATCAGGGTTAACTCCATGTTTTTCTAGCAATCTTCAATTTTCAGCAAATGCATAAATCATAATTTATTTTATATAGGTATATTGAGTCTCTATGTCGGTTTGTCTCTCTTGAATCATGCAGTGTCAAATGTTGGGTTTAAAAAGTAGAAAAACACACCAAATAATGTTTTATAATCTTCAAACTTCATGACTCTTCTCTGATCATTTCTTCTAAAAATAATTTTCAGAAATTAATGCTGTGAAAATAAATAAAAAGATAATAAGTCTATCTTATCTGTTATTGGCATATAATACCATACTGCACATACAATATCATTTTAGGCATTACATAATTCATTATTTAAGTTTGTTTACCATTGTTAAACTGTCACTGTCCAGTCGTATTACTTGACTCGGTTACGGGCCAGAAAATCTACTTCGTAAAGCAGACAATTTTTTCTTAGCGTATAAGCAATACAATAATTTTTAAATATATGAAATCATGTTTCAAATCAATATGTTGTGTTTAATGCATCCTTATTGTTCATAATACAATTTTTATTTGATTTTTCGATATTTAGTTTATGTACAGTAGCTTATATGTTAAGCAAGCAAACAAATATATGGTGTAGAAAGTCATTAATACAACAGGTATTCTTCATGTTCTGTCCTCACGATCTAAACCGAAATGCGCAATCATTTGTCATTCTTGCTTATTTTGAAGACATTTTAAAATAGTGCTAGTGGAGCCTCGCAGCGGAGAAACTGTACACTCAAATGTAGTGTGAGTACAATCTGGCTCATTTTCAGGATTATTTAAAGGGGTACATTTAAGAAACTATGAAGCAGGAAGTTCTCTCTTTCCCAGAGCTGAGGTGTTATAGACTGATTATCTCAAAGATATTAGAAAATCTTGAGAACCACAAAAGCCGCACAACAATCAAAAGTACACAAATTAGGATCTATGTGCTGAATTATCTTTTTGTTTAGTAACTCTGATCTTCTGCTCACTGATTTTCAGAAACAGGGTCCAGAGGGTACACTGAGGGCTGTTGTCATCCAGGAAAGGAGGCTCCATGTCGGGGTCCACAATGGCTGGTGTTTCTTGGACAAGCCCCAAGTGGTGGTGCTGGAGCCTCTAGCCAGAAGCCGATCAGACAGCAGCTCCAAACAGAGCAGCCTGGTGAAGGACAGGTGAGCAGAGGAAACACATGTCTTACAGTGGAGATGTTACTACCGGCTATAAGAGAGGCGCTTTATTCTGTTCTCAGACTGATAATCTTATGAGTGCTTATTTAAAGCATTTCATCAGCCTCTCCTGGCACGCTTCCTTTTGCTGATAGGCAAGTGATTTATCCTGTAAAATCAGCAAAAAATGTATTTCTGAAAAAGCTAGGTAGGTTGGAATGAACTTCAGTTGTGTATGACATAGGATGGGAGATGTCTGAAAAAACGAGAAAATTGCAGTTCTTCTTGGGGGTTCCAATTGCTTTATACCCTTATATTTGAGATCTACAGTTTATATTTCGTCTTTCACTTTCTACCTCTCTTATCAAGTGGAGACGTTCCAGATCAGTTATTAAACATACTCGTGCCATTTTTTTGTCATACGAGAAGATGAAAAGCTCACTTCAGTTTTGCTGGTGGCTGGTTGGTCAATGTGAAACAGTTGTCCTTTGATAGTGACTAAAGCAACTGCACGAAATTTCAACATTTCCAAACCCATTCTGTTTTTAGCTGCTTCCATTCTGCCACACTTCCATTGAGACTTAAGACTGGTGCATGCAAACCTACAGTCGGGTACAAAATACTATTGCTGTTCACAAGTTAGACCAACACCTTAGTTAGACATGTTAAACCTTTGCTAGAAGTTTGTTGATTAACAATCTTAAAAATAGATAATATAGGAGACAATATAGCTATAAGTAGCAATTGATTTGCAGAAATGCCCTACAATAGGTTGGCAGAAAATTAATAAAAGGCCCTTTCTTTTCTTATGTTGGCAATAATCCTCTACTGCCATGTACTGTACGATGTACAAATTAGACTTTTTTGGTCACCAATACAGATGCCCAAACTACTGGGGCCAGATGATACTGAGGGCTCAGATTTGACCTCTCTTTTATTTGTAAGGTTACAACAGTCTGTACATATTAAGGTGATAAAGTTTAATATCTGTACAGTTTTCTATCAAAAATGGCCGAGCCACTACTAAAAAAAAGCATGTGTTTACACACTTTATTAGTTGCTTCAAAGGTCAAAGATTATCTGTCCATCAAATCCATCCAAGTAAACAAAATAATACGTTTATTATAGAGAATATAAAAAAATACCAACCTTTTTTCCACCTTCAATGATGCAGGTCAACACACAATCATTTCTTTAGATATTTTCTTATCAAACAAATGGAGAGTAATGTTTATTTTTTCTATGTGGCTTTTTAATTAGTCCATTGACCTTGCCTAAACAACAAATACTGTTTACCTGATAAGGCCCTGCATGTCCTGACCCGACCCCAGCCTCATGATTTACACACTATTCCATGCCACACAGGCTTCCACCTTCATAAAACTGCCGTGCAGTACATTCCAATACGTGCAAGTACTTCATAACCAATCAAGGAGATACGGCTCCTGCTGCCCCTGCCCCTGAGTTTTATTGACACACCATGACACTCAATGCTAACCTTGTCAAAGTAGATGTGCTGATGTAAGGTCACCAGCGTCCACGTTAGATCAGCAGTAAAACACCAGGATTGAATGGTTTTGGCATGTCAACACACAGAGAGGTAAACCTGCACCCCACCCTGTAGAGTACCTTAATCTAATTTTAAATCCAGAGATGAGAAACACTCAATAACACCAGTGCAGGGTTAGAAAAACTGTAAAATAGCCAGTTGCCTTCAGATACTTTTGTAACCAATTGTGCTTTAGGTACAACAGCTGTCACAAATATCACATCGCACCCCGTTAAATCACTGGAAGTGTTTTCTAACATAAATGTTGAGAGCGAATGAACCTTTGACCGGCACAGGTAAACAACTGCCAGCAGTTTCAATTAATGAGCTGTCAAGGCGCACCACTGAGCCATTGTGCAGAACTGCTTCGGGTAAAAAAAGAAAAAAAAAAAGGTTTTGTGTCTATTTCAGTAACATTGTGCAGGTGTGTCATGATATGAAGAGAAGGTGTGCAAATCCTGTCACAACAGATCCACACTATCGCCTTTCTTTCCACAGACAATATGCAAAATACTACAAAAACTACAATACAAAATGTCACAATAAACCGTTAAAGTACAGCCATGATGCAAGCTTTATTTTCAAATTAGGTAGGTTCAGAATGTTTTATTGAGGAAAGCTTTGATAAAAGGTGCAAACTCTGAGCTCTTGTTACAAAAAAAAAGAAGTTAGTTAAAGAGGCTTTATTATGCTTTTGGGGTTGGGGGGTTTCCCTTCCCTGTAGTTTGTTATATAGGTTTTAGTGCATGTAAATGGTCTTCCAAGGCTCAAATACCTCTCCAGAGGAAGTTTCTCTCCCACACAACCCCCCCCTGCCTGAAATGCCTCCGTTCAAACCTTTATTTTTACTTCGGTAACATAATGACATCACTATGTAACACTCACGCTTCTATTGATTAGCTTTCCAACACATTGAACCTGATAAGATAAGGCGGGGGCGGGGGGGATCTCTAAGTGATTGACCAACACAACAGAGCCAGCCAGGTAACCAATCAAAACAGTCTAGACTCTTAATTTCAGACAGAGGGTGAAAAGAGGTGCTGCAGCACAGGCAGTATGAGAAGAATAAAGAGCTTTTTGAACATTAAAGCATGGAAACATGTCAGAGTAGAACCACAAAATAAACATTTGCATGATAGGGGGACCTTCAATATTAAGAAACAAATTGTCTTTCCAATTTTCACAATCTAAAGAATTTGTCTTTCTTTATTGGTGTTTACGGGAAAGGATGCAAAGAAATATGCTTGTAGTGAAGGTACTGTCTGCAAAATGCCCAGGCTATTATCATACAATGTTTGTGCTTATATGTACATTAAGTAATGCACTATAGTTCATATATCCCATGTAATCAGTTCACATGTAACCTACTAATCATGAGTCAGGACAGGTGACAGAGTATAAAGAGCAATAAAGTCTGCATGCGGAGTAGTTAGAGACGGATGGGTGGGTACAAACACTTTTTACAGAAGGCCACTGTTAGTGTTGTGTGTTTGACGTTGCGTTACTTCCATAACTAAGTAACGCAACGTCCATTGTTTTTTCCAACCCTAACCTTTTTCCTAAACCTAACCAAGTAATTTTTGCCTTAACAGATTCTGCACTGTGTTTGTGCAGGTGCACTGATTGCGGATATCCTTATGCACAAAATAAATTACAAAATGAATGTTGGTAAGACAACATAAGAACCGTTGTATGAGGAACCGTTGAAATACCAAATGGATATAAGGCATACTGATGTGACAAACCTGCCATCTATTGCACGCCACAATGCATACAGTTTATGTGTTTTTTTTATATTCTTCCACATTTTTCAGTTAACATAGAGTAGTTTCTTTTAGCTATTTCCTTTCGTATGATTAGTTGGGATGTATTGCTCAGTTTCAGGAAATAATTACGCAGATGGAAATTGAGTTGAAGGAAAGGCAGACTATTAAATAAAGTCAAAATGTCCAAAGAATAAGTTGTAAAATCAACAGATTACATACAGACAGTGAACCTACGATTGCTTTTTTTCCAGTGTGTCGGAATCAATATTTATTGTATTTGCTACTTCAGACGAGACGCAGGCTGATTACGTAGCTGCTTATATGGGTGTCTTACTAGCATGGGAATATACTCGGGGAAACATAATCAACACAATCACATACTTTCCAACAATCTGCACCTAATTACTGTTTTATACAAATAACAATAATTGTCATCAAACTAACTGCAGACATTATACTGTACGTTCTGCCCTTTTGTGTTTCCCTAAAAAACAAAGTGTTTATATGAAAACAACAGTGTAGCCAACAATTATGATGATTGCCTTATTTTTTTGCGTGCTGCCTTTGAAAGCTGACAGTCGGTCCTGCTTTCGCTATGCCTGGTGCTTCCAGACAGCGAGAAAAGAGAGAAGATAAATACATCCGATGTGCTCGCTTGTACCATTCTCTGGAGAGTCCATGAAGCGGTAAAAAGAAAAGGCGCTCGGCCCCACCTCGTGACACGCCGGCGCTCCACAGTATGCTCCCGCCTATGGTGTATGCAAACTGTGAATGACGAATACCAAGAGAGCTGTTCCACTGCTCACACAGGAGGCCAATGCTTGCCAGGGAACATTCTGCAAGCGAGTGTAAATCCTACAACACATTGATTTACTTCCTTTTTAACAAAAACAAAAACTGTATTAAAATAAATAAAGGGATAAAGCATCATCCTTTGCTCTAGTAATGACTTTAAAGCACATGGGTTGTGAATAATCTTGATGTGTGTCCTGTAATAGCTTCTTTCCTTGTGTCTCGCCCTCTTAAACACACCCAGTGTGTGTGTGTGCTCTCTCCTCAGCTCTACAACATCGCCCCCCCCCTCAGATGCTGGGCCTTCGCAGCAGCTTGGAGCTCAAACTGACAAATCATCAAGCTCTCGCAATCGTCTTCCAGCTGGAGTTCGTATTCTCTGCTCCAATTGGCCGAGAGACAATGGTAAGAGAGATGCAAAAACACACAAGTTCTCCTTAAGTATAACAGAAGTTAATACTGAAACTAAATCTTGAAGTCCTAGCCTAAAATCCTCCGCTTTATAAAATGACAGGATAACAGAATGACTTCTTCACTTGACTTAAACAGGTTTTCACTCTAATGGACAAACCCCCTACTTTCTTCTCTTTATCCTACCTTTGTTCTCTCAATACCCTTTTTTATCCTTGCAGCCCTCCATCCATCTCTAGCCATTGACAAATGTAAAAATGTGAAATACAAATATTTATATTTACTTAAAGCAGTGGTTCTCAAACTTTTTCTGTCAGGCCCCCCTTTTGGAGAAAAAAAAAGGTTGGGCCCCCCCAACACAAATAGTCACGTAATGGGCCAAGTTAACATTCATTAAAATACATCAATATGAACGTGAGCATTCCTTTGCTAGAACAGTGATAATAAAACAATGCTCCATAAGTGTGCTCCAAAAAATAAATACATAATACAATTGTGCAATCCCTTTGCTAGAACAATAAGTTATAATACTTTGCCACTTTGCAATCTGTGCAAAAAAATGAAAAGAAAGAAAATGCTGATATTTGGCAAAAAAGTGTGTCTTATCATTAGTGGCTGCAATGAGCCTGTTTTGCACTGCACATTTCTTCAAAACGGGGTTGCAGGCTCAGTGGCGGCGCCAGAGATTTTCTTTTGGGGGTGCTGTGGGGTAGCTTGATGTTTCATTGAGGGTGCTCAAACATTTAGGGTTTCCCATTAATGTACCGGTCGCTACAGTGGAATTTTCTATTGCAACAATCCCCACGCAAATACACAGTGTGACAGTTACAATGAAGGCTCGATAATCAGCTCACGGCATATAGGTGTAAGCAGGGGTAAAGTGCTATTTTTATAGGTGGTGTGTGGACCCACCAACATCCTCTAGGGGGGTCCGGGGGCATGGTCCCCCGGGAAGATTTAAAAAAAATATTGAAGTTAAATGCATCAATCTGGTGCATTTTCAGAGCAAAATTAAGAGATCTATGGATACATCTCTCAACACCCATATGAAACAGAACTGTAAACAGATTTACTTTTTCTTATGGATATTTTACAAATCACTCAATCATACCTGTTTTCATTTATTCTCTTATTTTTGTATACCTATAATGATCATATAAACGTGTGCCTTGGAAATAATTGTTTACATTCATCTTGACCAAACCGTTTGGGACCCACTGAGATAACTTAGACTAAAGTTAGGACGCTCCTCCACCTTGTTGTTGAAAAAGCTCCTTATACCCGTTAGCGTAGCTCGCTAGCACCAGAAGCTAACAACAACGATCTCTGGTACCGGTGCGCTCTCTCTCGCTCGCGCACGCACACAAAATGGCTCGTTCCAGACACACACAGATCCAAGCTTGAATGAAACACAGAGACCCAGACGTACTTGTACTGTACTGTAGCATATTATTTTCAAATCAATAATCTTTCATTTTTTTTGTCATAACAATTTTTCCTCCTGGTCTCTTGCGCCCCCCCTGTCATGCCTCTGCGCCCCCCACTTTGAGAAACACTGACTAAAAGGTAGGCTAGGTTAAGAATGGAGAAACCAGCTCGAGTGCGCTAGAATTTGAAAGTACACAACCGGGCCGAGGCAGATAATTGGACTTGCTTTTTACAGCGCCACGGCTTCCACAGATGAAATATTTGTATATATTTATTGTCAAAGCATTTAATGTATTCATTGCTATCGGGATGTTAAGAGCATTCCATGGAATATAACAAAAAGTGTTTCTGAAGTGAATTACCTACCCTACCTTTAAGGAGTTTAAAAATGCTCACGTTTTACAATGTATAACAATACATATGTTAAAAAGGATATGTTTCCAAATTGTTTTTTGAAGGCTAGACAACATTTGCAAACACAGTGCTGTGATTGTTTGAACACCAAAATAAAATTCCACATAAAAAAGAAATAGTCTGTCTCCATATAAAATGTTAATTTTGTGATATTCCTAATATGTTTTCCTGTCATGCCTCCCCATGTCCATATTAATTGCAATGACCAGTAGCTGGCACCTGTTACAGAGCGACACAGTCAACACACCCCGGGGAAGTCATTTCCAAATTCAAGCCGCACCACTTAACAGCCGCTCATGGCATGGAAAACCTCAGAAAGACTGTGGTAATTATGTACGTGGGTGAGCCTTCAACACTTAACGCATGCCAAGGCTGGGCTCCCATTGTGTTACTGCATGTTACACTTTTTACACAATCAGGGGTCACTGAATCACCAATTAAAAGCAGAAAAAAAAAAGCCACTCTGTCATAGGAGCACCATGGGACATTTGCATTTATGTATTAAATCACCCATTCTTACTCTGCAACCACTTGACAGCCCATTAGTGTCTGTTGTAATGGACATTGTCCTTTTTTTGTTTTGTTTTTAGCAAAGATGAAAGTGATTATTCCACTATACAGTAGACTTGTTGACATATAATGGATAGTAGTTAGGGGTGGATAATGGATTTTGTTTAGGTAAAAGAACAGTCTAAAGAAGAGCTTTATCCAGAATAGGAAACATAACACAATATACAGTACGTTACCACTAGCTAACCATCTGTTGTAGGCAGTTTGTCAATGTAACTCAGCTTGACTGTTCAGATTCTTTGAATACAAATGAGGAATTATCACAAAGATTATATCAATTTCTCGACTTAGCAACACTATGCCTGCTATCTGTAAAGCAGTAAACACTGCCTATATACACGTTTTTTTGAGAAATATTAAAATTGCTTCAAATACTTTTGCCAACATCCTCCTACACAACTATTTTCTTGAAGTAAGACCTCATTGGGGTGTGTTGGTTTAATTCCCTCACAAAAACGTACTATTTCTGTGTGATTATCATATTAGTATGATAGTTTGTGTCTTTAAGAATAAATTCACAAAAAAACAACCATTGTACAAGTATGCTAGCAACTCTTTAAGCAGCTCAGGTTGATGGAAATACGTTTGGTTAAGCATTTATTTGGTTATTATATCTTGGATGATTTAGGGTAGCAAGTGTGCACCAATATATCCTGAAGAGAACACTTATGTCTGCAATATAACAGTTGTCAAAACATTTCAAGAAAAAAACCTTAATGTCAACCTGCTAATGGCACAAGATTAAATGTCAAGGGATCACCAAAGTCTGACTGACCAACTGACATGGCCATCCCAGAGCTGCCAGCAAGGCTTAAAATAAAATGACTGCGTTCTTCATTGACAGCATTTATTTTAGTTGTTGGTTTGGAAATTCACTTTGATAATACACGGTTTTAGCCCAACGAGTGATGTGGTCTCAAGGTTGATATATGCTTAACAGGAACACGGTTGCACAACATTCATTAGGCCACAGAAAGGAGTTATGATTCATTCAGTTCCATTCAACTAAACAAATGTGTCTCAGACATTGTTCAGAACCTTCACAATTCAGTTACACTCTGCCATCTCTTTTCTGAAAGCCGTCATTTGCTTTTAAAATGGAGGCGATCGATGCAGCTCAGGAGTTAACACATGGAAAAAGACAGAAGAAGGATTAAAGGTCTTTGTGGTGAAACTTTAGCACGTTTTCCATCGTCACATCCTTGGACACCTGTCCATACATTGTAGAAAGCTGGCTGTGTGCTTGTTGGTCGGCAAAGTTATATAGACTAGGCAAAGCAGTCATCCCTTTTCCAATCTATTGAACAGTCCCTTTTTTAAGTGCTAGACATTGGTCCTTGCTGTTGGTCCATCATTCCAACTTCTTGTTTTAGCTCTTATCTCGTCAACTTTTGGCCATGTTTTGAATTTAATTTACTGAAGAGGTTCATGTTCCCCAGAGGATGATGCCTCATGTTTTGTTTTTTTGTTGCCCCTACTGAGTCATAGTTTACACTGGTACTCACAAAATATCAACGTGTAACTCGCAGATTGTCATTAAATCATGTGTGCATTCGTGCTCATCAAAGTTCAAACTCTTTCTATTTCTGACACTTAACCCTATGAACTATTTTTGGCTACTAGCTATTGTCCAATCAGGCCAATGTTTCATTTACTTGCTCCTTCGATGATCCTATTTCCATTTTTTGGAAGTCATTCTTCACACTTTTACAGTATGAGCTTTAAGTTGTCATTTGAAAACATTATGACATTCAAGAGTATGTGTTTCACTTGTATTTGATTGCTCATACTCATAATATTTCTATTCGTCAAAAACGGTATAATTACTCAAAAAATATGAACATCGTGTCAATTAGACTGCCAGACGGCATAGACAGCTTTGTTTTTACCGAGCTCCTACGTCGCATTGTTTACGGTTGTCATGTTCTCGCAATAATTGATATATCTTATATACAAGATCAGTGCCACAGTATTGCCCTCATGCTATGTTTTTCTAGAAAAAACCCTGCTCATTTGTATAGGATCATTCGAATTAGCTCAACAATTAAATGGGCTCTTCCATGATTCATTCTACACCCTTCCACAAAGTTTCATAAACATAGTTTGTGTGGTTTTTGAGTAATCCTGCCAAACAAACAGGAACCAAAAACATAAGCTCACTAGCAGAGGTAAATATAAATCAATCAATATAAACTTTGCACACACGATATCTCTCAAACTAACAGACAGATTCCCATGAAATGTGTGCTGTACACATTCACTCTCCAAATGCGATACATTTCTCTTTACTTAAAATGAGAAAAAGTTCACTTGAGTTAGGAAATTCTAACAATCCTGATCCATCAAACTGATTTCTGTCTACATCATCCCAGAATAGCAAGGCAAAAACGCCTGTGTGGGTGACAGAAAAAAAGATCTCCTACCACACTCTACTTCACCACCTTCGCCTTTTCTGGCATGCATGTTTGATGAGGCGAGAGATATATAGCAGGTGGAGAGTGATTTATGTCTGTGTGTGGGAGTGGAGTGTGTGTGTATTTGTGTGCTGATGTGTGCATATGTTGTTTGTAAGTGTTAATCCA